TTCCCTCACCTCCCCCTCACCTCCCTCACACTCTCCCCCTCACTCCCTCACACTCTCCCCCTCACTCCCTCACACTCACTCCCTCACACTCACTCCCTCACACTCTCCCCCTCACTCCCTCACACTCTCCCCCTCCCTCACACTCTCCCCCTCACTCCCTCACACTCAATCCTCACACTCTCCCTCACTCTCACTCTCCCTCACTCCCTCACACCTCTCCCCTCACCTCTCCTCACACTCTCCCTCAATCCCTCACACTCTCCCCACTCCCTCCACTCCTCCACCACCTCCCCTCTCCCTCACACTCTCCCTCACTCCCTCACTCCCTCACACTCCCTCACTCACACTCCCTCCCTCACTCCCTCACACTCACTCCCTCACACTCACTCCCTCACACTCTCCCCCTCACTCCCTCACACTCCCTCCCTCACACTCTCCCCCTCACTCCCTCACACTCACTCCCTCACACTCCTCCCTCACACTCCCCCTCACTCCCTCACACTCCCTCCCTCACACTCTCCCCTCACTCCCTCACACTCTCCCTCACACTCTCCCCCTCACTCCCTCACACTCACTCCCTCACACTCCCTCACTCCCTCCCTCACTCCCTCACACTCCCCCTCACTCCCTCACACTCCCCCTCACTCCCCACTCCCTCCCTCACACTCCCCCTCACTCCCTCACACTCACTCCCTCACACTCTCCCTCACTCCCTCACACTCCCCCTCACTCCCTCACAGTCACTCCCTCACACTCTCCCCCTCACTCCCTCACACTCTCCCCCTCACCCCACTCTCCCCCTCACTCCCTCACACTCACTCCTCACACTCTCCCCCTCACTCCCTCACACTCACTCCCTCACACTCTCCCCCTCACTCCCTCCCCCTCACTCCCTCACAGTCACTCCCTCACACTCTGAAGCACTTTGAGACATCTCAAAGACGTGATGAGGTGCTCTGTCGTGGAGTCCTGCAGCTCAGTGGTGAGAGCACTCGCCTCACAGGCGAGAGACCGGGGTTTGATTCCCGGCAGCTCAGGGCCAAACCCTGGGGCAAGTTTCCTTACTCCACACACCTGATAATAATCCCTCAAAAAAAATAATACTTTGGTCACTTCGATCCACGACTGTGTGCGCAATTGGCTGCCACGTTTCCCCCACAAAATAAATATACGGTCGATTCACTTCGCAGTCTATTCCGCGAAGCGCTTTGGGACGTCGAGGAGACGTGAAAAGCGCTATATCAAGTGCAAGGACCGTTATACCAAAAGCAGGGATTGCGATCCTGTCGTTGAGGCGTCTCACAAAGCGCTTCACAGAGCACGTTCACGTTGCAAAAGGGATTGACTGCATTTTGTGGGTGAGAGGCGGCAGCCCATTTGCCCGGCAGTGCCCCACAAACGGTCGTGGATTGAGTGGACGCATTTTTGGAGGCAGTTTTTAACTTTTAAACCGTTTTGAACTAACCATTTGTGCTGAGAGGTGGTTTATGTTTTGTTGCCCAAGATCCTGAAGGTGCTCGTGACGGGGGCAGCTGGGAACATTGCCTACTCTCTCTTCCACTACATCGCTAACGGAGATGCATTCGGCAAGAACCAGGCAAGTATCACCTTAAGACTCACCGGAGTCCTGTAGCTCAGTGGTTAGAGCACTCGCTTTGCAAGTGAGAGACCTGAGTTCAATTCCCGGCAGAGGGCCAAACCTCGGGCAAGTTTCCTTACTCCACACAGAGCCTAATAATAGTCCCTCCAAAACCAACAACAATAATAAATTGGTCATTTTCAATCTACGACTGTTTGTGGGACATTGCTGTGCGCAATTGGCTGCCGCGTTCGCCCACAAATATACAGTCAATTCACTTTACAGTGTGTTCTGTGAAGTGCTTTGGGACGTCCTCCAGATGTGAAAAGCGCTATATCAAATGCGAGGATTATTATTATTAATAATAATAATAATAATAATGATGATCTTTGCATTTAATACAGCTCCTTATCACGTCTTCGAGACGCCTCAAAACGCTTCGCAGAACATACTGCAGAGTGAATTGTGGGCGAAACGCTGCAGCCAATTGCACACAGCGGTGTCCAATTGCTGTTGTTATCCCCGGAAAGGTGATCCGCCCATCGACTAATGAGCGGCTTCCCGCTCACTGCCGGCACACAGTGGAGTCAGGAAACTTGCACAAAGTTTCGCCCCGACCGGGAATCAAACCCGGGTCTTCTCGCTTGCGAGGCGAGTGCTCTAACCGCTGAGCTACAGGAAGTAGAGCATAATACGAGTCGTGTAACTCGGGAGAAATACAGGATTTAGGCGTTTACAGAATTTATAAAGACAGAGAGCCCAGCAGCGTGAGGAGGGAACTGAGTGAGGTGGAACTCTGTTAAGGAACTTGGTGAGGGTGGGACTTCAGTGCAGAGGGGGAAAGAGGGGCATAATTATAAAATATAATAAGAGTTTATATTAAAGTAATATGAAACATGTCTGGGAATACGGCAGGGCAGCTGAGACCGGTTACATGCACAATGTGTGCCATGTGGGAACTCCAGGATGCTCTGCGCGCCCTGGACATAAACAACAACTTGGACGGCGTCTCAGGGAGCTTCACAGCAACGGATCCCGGGGCCGAGCCGGGGGGGGGGGGGAGGAAGGTGACCAAAGGCGCGGTCGAAAAGAAAGGTCTTCAGCCAAGACCTGAAAGTGGGAAGAGAGGGGGCGAGGCGAAGGGAGTGAGGAAGAGACAAACGTGTGTAGGAAGTGCCTCCGCGGCTGCTCGAGCTTGAGCTCAGGGTTTCTGAGCTCGAGGAGAGGCTGGTGTCACTATATAGCGTACGGGAGGCTGAAGAGTTCATGGATCGAACGTTTCAGGAGGTGGTCACCACACAGCCACGGAGAGGGTTCAGAAGGAGAGCGAGTGGGTGACCACCCGGCGTGGTAGGAAGAAGGGACGGGCGGCACAGAAATCCCCTGAGAGAGTGGCACTCACAAACCGGTTCTCGGTACTCAATGACACCTGTCAGGGTCATGACACCTCTGGGGAGAGGAGTCGAGAGCCATCGGACGCACAGGGGGACACAGGGAAGATTGTCATTGCAATTGTCTTTGGGGACACAATGGAGAAAGGAGTAGACGGACGTTTCTGCAACTAACGACGTGTGTCTCACATGGTATGTCGCCTCCCTGGTGCCAGGGTTGAGTTCAATTCCCGGCAGAGGGCGAAACCTCGGGCAAGTTTCCTTACTCCACACAGAGCCTAATAATAATCCTCCAAAACCAAAAACAATAATAAATTGGTCATTTTCAATCTACGACTGTTTGTGGGACATTGCTGTGCGCAATTGGCTGCCGCGTTCGCCCACAAATATACAGTCAATTCACTTTACAGTGTGTTCTGTGAAGCGCTTTGGGACGTCCTCCCGACGTGAAAAGCGCTATATCAAATGCAAGGATTATTATTATTATTATCACGGCACGGGTGCAAAACATTCTGCACGGGGACTGGAAACCTCCAGAAGTCGTGGTCCATCAGGAGAGGCGAGAGAAGCCGGGATTATTCTCCTTTGGAGCAGAGAAGGTTAAGAGGAGACTTAACAGAAGTTTTCAAAATTAGGAGGGGATTCGAACAAGGAGAAACTATTCCCACTGACGGGGGGGTCGGTAACCCGGGGACACCGAGTTAAAACAGTTGTTAAAAGAACGAACAACAAAATTACATTTGTATAGCGCCTTTCACGTCGAGAGGACATCCCAAGGCCCTGGAGCGGAGCGGAGGGGAGGGGAGGGGAGGGGAGGAGAAATTATTTTCACGCAGCGAGTGGTTGGGATCTGGAATCATTGCCTGAAAGGCCGGTGGAAGCCGATTAGATAACAACTTTTACGAGAGAAGCAGATAATTATTTGGGGAGGACAAGGTTGCAGGGCTATGGGGGGGGAGTGGGGTTGATCAGGGCTATGGGGAGAGATGGAGTGGGGGAGTGGGGTTGATTTGGAAGCTCTTTTCAGAGCCGGCACAGACACGATGGGCTGAATGGCCGCCTCCTGTGCCGGATAATTCTATGATTCTATCTGGACTTGATGCGAGTTTTTACTGTGTATTTTGATAAGGTAAAGGAGTATTATAAACACTCGCATCAAGCAGACCGTCTCTGTGCCGATTCTCTTACACAAGAATCTATGGACTCTCTTCTGTTGCGGTTTGCGGCAGAGAATCGCACATTCCCAACACCCCGGGGTTTTCAGCCACAACACCCCGAAACTCTGTCACTCCCTCCCTCTCTCCCTCTGCCTTGCCCTTTCCTTCCTTCCTTCCTTCCTGCCTGACTGCCTGCCCGCCTGCCCGCCTGCCCGCCTCTCCCCCCTCCCCATCTTCAGGTCGGGCCTGAATACCAGCGCGTACGTTCACCGCCCCTCTCCTCCCGGCTCGGGGTGGCGCTCCACCACTGTCAAGCGCCCTGGGACGCTACTCCCTGCGGGAGGGGGCGCTAGGTAAATGCAATTGTTGTTGTTGTTGTTGTTGCAGCGGATCTGCCTGGTTCTGCTGGATGTCACGCCAGCGATGGAGCTGCTCAGAGCAGTGGTGATGGAGCTGCAGGACTGTGCCTTCGATTTGCTTAGAGGTAATTATTAATCCACTCCCACTCACGCACTCCCTCTCACTCGTTCCCTCACTCCCCTACTCCTTCTCACTCCTTCCACAGGCATGTGGAGTAAAGAAACTTGCCCAACATTTCGCCCTGCCGGGGAATCAAACCCAGGTCTCTCTAACCACTGAGCTACATGACTCCATGCTATCTGCATAAACAACTCATTTCATCTTAATCGTTTTCGTTTTTTTTATTGCGTTTCGCCCACAAAATGTACAGTCACGCACTTTACAGTGTGTCCCGTGAAGCGCTTTGAGATGTCTCAAAGGCGCGATGAGGCGCTCTTATCAAATGCAAAGATTATTACAGACGCTGTGTACCAAATGTAAAAATGATAATTAATAATAATCGAGTACTGTGATCTTTTTTGCGTGGTGCTTCAGAAATCGTTGCTACAGACAGGGAGAGATCGCTTTCACGGATCTGGACGTCGCCATATTAATCGGCTCGATCCCACATCATGCAGGCATGTTGAAGAAGGACCTGCTGAAGTCTAATGTGCGCATATTCAGATCACAGGGACAAGCCTTAAACAAGTTCTCCAAAAAGACTGTGAAGGTAGGAGTGCCTCAACACTGAGGCTAAGTGTGGGCTTTGTCTTCTTTTTATAATAAAAATATTCCTTGCATTTGATATAGAGCCTTATCACGGCTTTGAGGCATCTACAAGTGCTTCAAAGTGCAGTGCAAAGTGTAGTGAATATGTATTTATATCTTTTTATTTATTGTTATAAACATCATTTGCACGTGCATTTGCTACAGCGCCTTATCACGTCTTCGACACGTCTCAAAGAGTTTCACACGATACACTGTAAAGCGTAGTGACTGTATTTTGTGGCCAAAATGCGACATCCAATTGCACACAGCAGTGTTTCACACAAACAGTCGTGGATTGAGTGACCAAATTATTATTATTTTTTGAAGGAGTTATTAAACCCGGAAAAACGATCCACCGATCAACTAACAACTGGGTTCCTACTTACTGCTAGGTAAACGGAGGTGTGTGTGTGGCGAAATTAAACTTGCCTCAGGTTTTGCGCTGCCTGGCAATCAAACCCGGGTCCTCTGCTTCTGGGGGTGATAATCCCTTCAAATAAATAAATAATGATAATAATTTTGTCACTCAAATCCATGACTGTTTGTGGGACGCTGCTGTACGCAATGGGCTGCCACATTTCTCCCACAAAGTACAGTCAATTCACTTTACAGTATATATTCCAGGCAGAGGGCGAAACCTTGGGCAAGTTTCCTTACTCCACACAGAGCCTAATAATAATCCCTCCAAAATCAAAAAAACAATAATAAATTGGTCATTTTCAATCTACGACTGTTTGTGGGACATTGCTGTGCGCAATTGGCTGCCGCGTTCGCCCACAAATATACAGTCAATTCACTTACTTTACAGTGTGTTCTGTGAAGCGCTTTGGGACGTCCTCCTGACGTGAAAAGCGCTATATCAAATGCAAGGATTATTATTATTATTATTATTATTCTGTGAAGAGCTTTTGAGACGTCTCAATTATGTGATGAGGCGCTTTACCAAATGCAAGGATTATTAATGGTATTATTATGTGAAAGACACCATATCAAATGTAAGGATTGTGATCCTTACTGACTCTGCCCTCAAACAACTAAGACACACACTCACACACACACACTCTTCGTTAATGTGAAACATTAATTCTTTAATGTGAAAAGAGGCTCTTCTTTAATGTGAAACAAAATAATAATTTGGTCACTCAATCCACGACTGTTACTGCCCACAATTGGCTGCTGCGTTTCGCCCACAAAACCCACAGTCACTCCAGTATATTTGGTGAAGCGCTTTGAGACGTCTCGAAGACGCGGTAAGGCGTTACATCAAACCCAAGGATTATTATTATTATTATGATGAATATTCAATTGAAATCCAGTATCGTGAGTTCAAGGATTAAGATTACCTTCTGGTTGTGCTTCTCTTGGGTGGGGGAGCCTCAGCGCTCCTGAGGCACGATGTTTGATTTAGTGTTTTTTTGTTTTTGTGCCTCGTTTAGGTCATTGTGGTGGGTAACCCGGCCAATACCAACTGCCTGGTGGCACTGAAAAATGCTCCCACCATTCCCCCGGAGAATTTCAGCAGCCTGAACCGCTTGGGTCTAAACCGGGCCAAGTATCAGGTCGGTCCCCGGGAAACTCAGCGCCCGGCAACGGCTACAATTTGCATTTACCCTTCGCGCGGTGTGGCGTCCTGGAGCACTTGACAGTGGCGGAGTCTGACTCTGAGCCGGGCGGGGGGGGGAGAGGGAGGTGGGAGGTGACCACAAGCGCAAACAAAAAGGAAGGTCGTTAAGCGGGATTTGAAGGTGGGGAGGGAGGGGGCGAGGCGGAGGGATTGAGGGGGAGAGTGTGAGAGTTTTGGGGCGTAGTGGCTGAAGGCCAGGCCACCAATGGTGGAGCGGAGGGGACGAGGGACAGCCAGCCGAGGGTGGGGGGGGGGGGGCAGGGGATGCAAGGCATCGTTTAAGCTTCAGGTGTCAGTAAGTACACACTCTTAGCTCTGAGTCACAATGTCGTGGCTTAAAGGGAACACTCTCTCTCCCTTCGATCTTTCCCTTCGTCTCGCCCCCTCCTTCCTTCCCCATCTTCAGGTCGCGCCTGAAGACCTCTACGACCGTGCCTGAGAGAACTGAGGAGTTATACCTATCAGGAAAGGCTGAACATGAGGGAAAGGGGTGACCTGTTAGAGGTCTTTAAAATGATGAAAGGTTTTGATAGAGTCGACATAGGGAAGACGTTTCCAATTGTGGGGGAGACCAAAACCAGGGGCCATCAATATAAAATAGCCACAAATAGATCAAATAGGGAAGTGCGAAGAAATGTCTTCACACAGAGAGTGGTGGGAATGTGGAACACACTACAACAAGGAGTTGTTGAGGCAAATAGCACAGATGTATTTAAGGGGAAACTGGAGAGGTACATGAGGGAGAAAGGAATAGAAGGTTATGCTTGAAGGCTTAGTTGAGGAAGGGCAGGAGGAGGCTCACGTGGAGCATAAACACCGGCACAGACCAGTTGGGCCGAATGGCTGTTTCTGGGTTGTATATTCTGATGGATTCTAATATATTCTAAACAAACCTGGTTTAATAAATTCCATGCATCCCACCTACTCGTGGAAATCCCAGAGATAGGTTGTTGGAATGGAATGCGCTCTCTCTCTCTCTCTCTCGCTCTCTCTCACTCCCTGGGGGCACACCCCTTGCTTACCTAATTCCGGAGAGTATTAGGCGCAGGTTGGCAAGAACCATGGTTTTGAGTGGTGGGGTAACTGCTGGAATCCAACCAGCTAAACCCACGCATAGCTTGGCCATTGAGAGAAAGAGAGAGAGAGGGCGCTGTCTGGCCAAGCTTTCCCGCTGCTTGTCCGGCTCGGACCCCTCTCCCCGTTAGGGCTTTGGCTGTGGGGTTAACAGGAGCTGAGGGGGAGGATTCTCTGCCCTTCCAGGTCCTGCCCATGAGCCGGGCCGGGCGGTGCTGCCTTCAGCAGTGAGTGCCCTAGAATACTGCGGCCCCTCCTGGCTCAGGAACCGGAATGGAGACCGTCACAGAGGAGTGGGGGCTTGAGAGAGAGAGAGAGAGAGAGAGAGAGAGACCGACCGTCACAGAGTGCTGACTCGATTCCCATATTCCGTTGCCAAAAACATGTCACTTGGGGCCAATTCGGAGTCCTGTAGCTCAGTGGTCAGAGCACTCGCTTTGCAAGCGAGAGACCTGAGTTCAATTCCAGGCAGAGGGTGAAACCTCGGGCAGGTTTCCTTACTCCACACAGAGCCTAATAATAATCCTCCAAAACCAAAAAACAATAATAAATTGGTCATTTTCAATCTACGACTGTTTGTGGGACATTGCTGTGCGCATTTGGCTGCCGCGTTCGCCCACAAATATACAGTCAATTCACTTTACAGTGTGTTCTGTGAAGCGCTTTGGGACGTCCTCCTGACGTGAAAAGCGCTCTATCAAATGCAAGGATTATTATTATTGTAATTCAGCGTAAATGGTTGAAGGGTACCAGTGACGAGATGGATCGAGTCGGCCCTTTTTACCCCTTTGATTTTCAGATCGCTGCGAGACTGAGCGTGGAGCCCAAGGACGTGCGGAACCTGATCGTTTGGGGGAACCCCTCCCCCAAGTTGTACCCCGATGTCAACCACGCCTATTTCATCCGCAAGTGCAAAAAGATGTCCGTGACCGATGGCGTAGGGGACAGTGACTGGCTGCAGGGAGATTTCATCAGAGTGAGTGTCCAGTCCAGTACCTCAGCGGGTTGAGGCTTCTGAGAAACTTCCTTGCGTGAAGGACACTCAATACTGTAATATAAGTTGTTGGGCATTCAGCCTCTCTGCCCCCACACGCACTGGAACTCTGGCCCGCAATCCCTGCACCTCGCCCTTACCTCCCTCACTCTCTCTCGCCTCCGTCAGCTCCCATCTAAAGACCTTCCTCTTCGGTCACCCTCCTACCCCCCACCCCTGCCTTCCTGATCCCAACCACCAGCTCGGATCCAGATCCCTGATTGTCCAGCGCCACGGTGTGCCCCCCTGAAGCAAAAGGCGCTGTGTCAATGTCACCTGTCGTTGTTTATGTCGGGCCGTGGAGCTGGCAGGCTAGGCCGACGCTCCAGTGCAATGCCGGGGGGGTGGTTTGCGTTGTCAGAGTTGCCGTCCTTCGACAGGCCTTAAACTGAGTTCCTACGGCGCTGTTTTGGAAAGAGGAGAGTTTCTCTCTCCCGGTTTCCAGGCCAACAATCAATCCCCAGTTACAATCGGTCCATCACTTCTTGGCTGTTTGCGTCACTTGGCGGTCCACACGTTTGCTGCTGCGTTCGCCTACAAATACACAGTCGCTGTACTTCACAGTAAAACCCTGTGAAGCGCCATGAGACGTCTCGATGACGTGATAAGGCGCTGTATCAAATGCGAGGATTATCGTACAATATATAGCAGTGTATCATTGTGGAGTCCTGTAGCTCAGTGGTTTAGAGCGGTCGCCTCCTCGCAAGCGAGAGGACCTGGGTTCGATTCCCGGGCGGGTCAGGGCGAAACGTGACCTGCTCCGCACAAGTAGGAACCCGGTTGTTAGTCGATCGGTGAAATAATTATTATATTAATTTCCAGGGGGAGTAATTATAATAATAATAATAATTATAATACGTGCATTTGAAACAGCGCCGTATCATGTCTTCGAGACGTCTCAGAGCGCTTCACGGATTATACTGCAGAGTGATTTTGTGGACAAAACACAGCAGCCAATTGCTCACAGCAGTGGATTGAAGCGACCGATTTTTTTTTTTTTGGAAGGAATTATTACCCACACCAGTCAACCAGCAAGCGGGTTCCTGCCCACTGCTCGGTAAACACAGGCGTGTGGAGTAAGGAAACTTGCCCAACAGTTCATTAATTCCTTAAAAACAATAATTATAATAAATTGGTCACTGTATCCATGAGTGCTTGTGGGACACTGCCGGGCGCGATCGGCTTCCGCGTTTCACCCACAAAACACGCAGTCCCTACACTCGACAGCGTGTCCCGTGAAGCGCTTTGAGACGTCTCGAAGACGCGATGAGGCCCCGGGTCACACCCCGGGGTTGTTGTTATTGTTGTTGTAAGTTGATGTGCGTCTGTGTGTGTTCCTCAACACAGCAGTTCATTTGTCTCCACAGATAATACAAGAGCGCAACAATACTATTACCAAGGTCCGCAAGCTATCGAGTGCCATGTCAGCTGCCAAAGCAATAAGTGACCACCTGAGGGATTTGTGGGTCGGGACTCCGGAGGTACAGGAACAGAGTAGGGGGCAAAGAGTTGGTGGGGGGTGGGGGGTGGGGGGGAGATCAAACCGGTTACAGTGATTTATGTAGATTATAGCAAGGAAACGGGCCATTCAGCCCAACCAGTATGTGATGGCTTTTATGCTCCATGTGATTGTGGAGACCTGCAGTGTCTAGTGGTTACAGCCCTCGCCTCGCAAGCGAGAGGACCTGGGTTCGATTCCTGGGCGGGTCAGGTCAGGGCAAAACGTGGGGCAAGTTTCCTTACTCCCCCCCCCCCACACACACACACTGCCAGGCGTGAATGTAGTGTGTAAGTAGGAACCCGGTCAGTTGATTGGCGGATCGCTTTTCCGTGGGTAATAATTCCTTCACAGAGCACTTGAAGCAAATCGAGGCGGGAGGTGATGAGTGCAGGGGTTTTGGACCCGAGCTGGGAGCTGGTGGAGGGCAGTGGGGTGGGGGGTGGGGGTCGAAGAGCAAGGCTCGGTCGTAGAGGAAGGGCTTTAGACAGGATTTGAAGGAGGCAAGAGGTGGCGAGGGGTTGGGGGGGGGGTGAGGCGGAGGGATTGCGGGCTAGAGGGTGGGGGCAGAGAGGCTGAATGCCCGACCGCCAATGATACAGCCCTGTGTCAGTGCGAGTTGTTGTGTCTCTTTTGTTGGCAGGGCGATTGGACTTCTATGGGAGTCATTTCGAATGGAAATTCCTACGGAGTTGCTGAGGATCTGATCTATTCCTTCCCGGTTACTATTCAGGTATCGTCAGTCACTCGTCCTAGCCTCGTCCCTGCAGCTCTGTGTCAGTCGCTCGCATCTCTCGCCTCTTGTTTCTCCCCTCGTCCCCTCCTCTGCACCACCGCCGGTGGCCGTGCCTTCGGCCACTATGCCCCGAAACTCTTGTCACTCTTTCCCCCAACAAGAATTGTTGACGAATAAATACCGAGGTCTGTCCAGTTTGCCTGCCACATCCTGGCAGTCGCTTTCACACGTCATGTCCCAAACTACATACTGTAACTCGATATTATTTCCTAAAAGAAATAATAATAATCCTTGCAATAATAATCCTTCGAGACGTCTCAAAGCGCTTCACAGGATACCCAGTAAAGTGCAGTGACCGTGTGTTTTGTGTTTCAGGATCTCCTGCGACGCTGTTCCAACAGAGGAGGGGGAGTTTCTCTCTCTCGCGCTTTCTCTTTTCTGGCCGACAATCTCCCCAATAAAATTGGCCACTCACTCCATGGCTGTTTGTGAGGCGCAAACTGGCTGCCGCCTGTCGCCCGCAGTCGCTGCACTTTACGGGGTGAAGCGCTTTGAGAGATCTCCTGTAGTTCTGCAGCTCAATGGTTAGAGCGCTTGCTTTGCGAGCGAGAGGACCTGGGTTCGATTCCCCCGGGGCGGGGCGAAACCTCAGGCGAGTTTCCTTCCTCCGCGCGCCTCTTCTTTACCCGGCAGCGAGTAGGAACCCGGTTGTTGGTCGAATAATAACCCCTCGAAAAAAAGAAATGATTAGTATCATTTGTCCACTCAGTCCGCGGCTGCGATCGGGGACGTCGCTGCGGGCAATTGGCTGCCGCGCTTCGCCTCCAGGAAACACCCGGTCGATTCTGTGAAGCGCTTCGAGACGTCTCGAAAACGGGATAAGGCGCCGTATCAAACGCAAGGATTATTGTTCGACCGCGTCTACGGTCACCTCTACCCTTTCTGTGTAAATGCAAGTTGTTGTTGTTGACGGCAGGGTGGTGGTGGTGGTGGTGGTGGTGGTGGTCCATAAGGACAAGATGAAAGGGGGACTTCTTCACCCGAACGGCCTCTGCGGTTCTCATCTCCCGAGTCTTTTCCGCAGAACAAAACCTGGAAGCTGGTCCAAGATCTGGCCATCTCCGACTTCTCCAAGCAGAAGATGAAGCTGTGCACCGAGGAGATAGTGGACGAGAGAAACCAGGCCTTGACCTTCCTGTCTGAGAGTGAGTGGGTGGTGGGGGTGGGAGGTGCGGGTGGGGTTGGTGGCAGCTTAGTGTGGCCGAGGCTGATGAGGAGAGCGTACCCCCACCCTCCCCCCTCCACTCCACCGCTCGCTACCTCCGCTCGACAGCCTCCCGCCTGTTGGAGCACCAAAGGGCCGGGCTCTGTCTAACAAAATCAGCACTTGCTCCACGCAAATCCCTGCGCTAAAAGATGACGTCCGCTCCTCGTAAATATAATTGCAAACAGCACTCCAATATCTCTGCTTCTCTTGGTCCACCGAAAGGGATCGGAACGGTTCATTTCCTTCGCAAGCGCTCTTCAGCAGTCGGCTGCCGCGTTTCGCCCACAAAACGCACGGTCTCTACACTTCACGGTGTATCCTGTGAAGCGCTTTGAGACGTCTCGAAGACGTGATCAGGCGCTGTGTCAAATGTGAGGATTATTATTATTATTGTTATGATCCGCAATGCCCTGACCTTCTGGAGCTCTCAGCCTCAATCCCTCTGCCTCGTCCCCTCGTTGCTCCTCTTCAGGTTGTACAGGGAGTCCACAGGGTCCTGTTACCCCCATTTGCCTCTTTACGGTCCCCGGACCAACAACTGAAACGCATGGCAGAACGGTGATAATTATATTTAATCGTCTTTTAAATGAGTACTTAATTGTGTTCGGTACAAGTGTGTAACTGTCTTTGGACTCCCAGAGGATTAGTGTGTGAGCGTGTGAGTGTGAGCGTGTGAGTGTGAGCGTGTGAGTGTGAGCGAGTGAGTGTGAGTGTGAGCCCCATCGTTTCTTTCATGGCAGATAATGATCTGTTCATTATCGCCACGTTCAGTGGCACATCTTCTCTAACACGGAGCGAGGAGGTGAGAGGCATCGCTGACGGCTTGTTTCAGCTCCTCTGTAGTCTTGTATCGCTGCTTTGTAACGGGGCGATGGGGTGGGGGGCGGTGGGGGGGCGGTAACAGGACTTTGTGTGGACACCCTGTACGTGAAGACCTTCCCCTTTGACTGTGCCTACGTGTCAACCCCTGGGGTCAAACTACGTCGCAGTTAAATGCTTCGAGATGCTGCCCCGGGTGAGGGGGGTGCGGGGGGCGCTGTGTAAACACAAGTTCTTGTATATACTTTGGGGGTTGATGAAAGCAGTTGACTGACTGGCGATGAGGTGATCACATTGTGAGCTTTTCTGAAAGGCCCTCCTCGCTCAATTGGAGTCCTAAAGCTCGGTGGTTAGAGCACTCGCCTCGCACTTGAGAGGACCTGGGTTCGATTCCCGGGCGGGGAGAAACGCTGGGCAGGTTTCCTTACTCCAGGGGCCTCTGTTTACCGAGCAGTAAGTCGGAACCCGGTTGGCAGACGATTGGCGGATCGGGGATAACTCCTTCCAAAAAACAATGATAAACAAATTGGTCACTTCAATCCACGGCTGTTTGTGGGGACGCTGCTGTGCGCGATTGGCTGCCGCGTTTCACGCAAAATATGCGGTCACTCCAGTTTGCGGAATGTTCTGCGAAGCGCTTTGAGACGTCTCGAAGACGTGATAAGGCGCTACATCAAGTGCAAGGATTATTATTTGATCGCGGGGATGGGATGGGATGAGCGGTTTGGCTGCGAGGGGAGAACCGGAGGAACTGGGACTCTACCACTGGAAGATAAATAATAATAATCCTGGCATTTGATACAGCGCCTTTATCCCAACTTTGAGACGCCTCAAAGCGCTTCGCAGGATACACTGTAAGGTGCAGTGACTGTATATTTTATGGGCGAAACGCGGCAGCCAATTGCGCCCAGCGACGTCCCCACAAACAGTCGTGGATCGAGCGACCACATTTTTATTATTATTTTTGTTGAAGGGCTCAAATGCAAGGATTATTATTATTATTTGGGTGACCAGCAGCTGGGTGAGGAGGGGGTGGGCGCTGGGCTGGGGTGGGGGGGGGGGTGGTCGAGGCAGCGGGGGGTGATGGGCTTCATCTGGGTGACGGTGGTATCTATCATTCTTAGGATGAGACGTTAAACCGAGTCCCTATCTGCTTATTCAAGGATTATTATTATTATTATAAAGTCTCCTTTGAGACTCTTTTCCAGGCTGGACAAACGCTTCGCCCCTCAACACGTCCTCATTGCTAAATGTTTCTCTTCCTCGGAGGATACAGTTCACGATCCTGATCCTCCACGGCCTTCAAAGCCCTTACTACCTCTGTGACCTCCTAACCTGCTACCATCCTGCCCGCTCCCTCCGCTCAGCTGGCTCCGCTCAGCGGGCTCCGGTCTGCTTCACGGCCCCCGCCTCACCCGCCCCTCCATTGGCGGTCGGGCCTTCGGCCACTCTGCCCCCTCCCTCTAGACCTCCATCCTCAGTCCCTCCGCCTCGCCCTCTCTCCTCACCTCCTTCAAGACCCGTCTCAAAACCCTCCTCTTCGATCGTGCCTTCGGTCACTCTGTTACCCCTAAGCTCCCCGCCCTCCACCCCTCCTGATCCCAACTCCCTGACTGTCCAGCATCTTGGGACGTCCTCCTGGACATGAAAGGCGCTGTGTAAATGCCACTTGTTCCTCACCACCTGCTTTCAAACACCCAACAAGAACAAATGGCACCTGTGCAGCGCCTTTCACGTCCCGAGGCGCTGGACAAGACGGTCAAGGATCCGTACCCGAAGGCTGGTCTCTGCTCTCTTCTGCAGTTTAGCGTTTCGAAACATTCGGTAAATCGTAGACCATTACGGCACAGAAGGAGGCCATTCGGCCCACGGCGCGAGCGACACGGCAGAGGGACAGCATTAACCAATGGTTTGTGTCTTGACAGGCAAGCTGTGATGCCTGCCTCCTTGTCAGAGCTGGGTAATGGGGGCAGGATCCAGCGAGTCAATCCTACTACGCCTGAGGTGGAAAGAGCAGAACAGCCCGGAACGGGGGGAAGGAGGAGGCGAGAAGGGGACACAGTTTGCTTAATGGGCCGTGCTCCGAGTTTCCGGTTTACAACGAAAGCTTAAAAGGTTTAAAGGGACCTGATGGAGGAAGCCAAACTCGCTTACAACTAACCACATCAGTCCCTCTTTCAACATCCCCCTGTGGCTAATGGTCCTGTTCCCCATCTCTACCCCGCTCGCTTTCCTTTTGGAAATCTTCTTGAATGGACCTTTAGACTGTTACTTCCGTTGGTTAGTTTTCTTGGAGGTTTGAAATCCTCGCCGTGTTCTTTTGCGACACTTTTGCCGTTCGCGTTCTTACCGTTTTTAAGGTCGCCCGTGTGGATCCGAAGCCGATGTTCGGAAGCTCAAGGTGGCTCAAGTGAGGGGAAGGTTGTCTGGCGGGAAGCAGACAGTGGAAGGAGCCCCAGGGGTTGAGGTGGAAGGGCTGCTTTGTGAACCGCTGCAACATCCGCTGAATAAAACCGACCGCTTAAAGCTGACTTGTGGGTGTTGTGTCTTGTGTCCTCTTCCGCTGCGTCGGGTCTCTTGAGTTGCCATCACCCGGGTCCTTGCCAGAGCTCTGCTTGTCATCCGGGTTGATTGACTTCGAGAAACTCGCTCTGACCGTGAAACCTCTCCCCGTATTCTCTTGCCCCGACCCTCTCCTTGGCCATCTCCTCCGTCCCTGCTTTCTCCTCAGCCTGGATTGGGAGCTCAAAAAAAACCAGGAATGCGATTTAACGACAATAAAAATCCTTGCATTTGACCCCAGTGCGCCTTATCGCGTTTTCGAGACGTCTCAAAGGGCTTCACAGGATCCGCTGTCGAGTGTAGTGACTGTGTGTTTTGTGGGTGAAACCGGCAGCCAATTACGCAACAGCGACATCCCCGCAAACAGCCGTGGATTGAGTAACTGACAGCTCTGTGTCGTGACTAATGTCGTTAACTTTTTTGATGGAGTAACGGAGAGAGCGGATTGAAGGTCCTGCGGTTGATGCAGTTTATATGGATTTTCAAAAGGCATTTGATAAAGTGCCGCATAAGAGGCTTCTGAGCGAAATAGAAGCCAATGGTGTTAAAGCGACAGTGGCAGCGGATACAGAACTGTCTGGGAGACAGAAAGCCGAGGGAACTGTGCGGTGGTGTCCCCCCCGGGGTCAGTATTGTGGGGCCACTGCTGTTTGTGATCTATATAAATAATAATAATAATAATGAGCACATTTGCCAAGTTTGCAGATGATACTAAGCTGGAAAAGCAGTAAACAGTGAGGAGGATAATCGACTGCAAACGGATATAGACAGACCGGTAACACGGGCCGACAGGTGGCAGATGAAGTTTAATATGAGCTGATGGTACAATCTTAAAGGGGGTGAAGACACAGAGGGACCCGGGGGGTTCGTAGAGTAAATCTTTGAAGGAGGGAGGACAGGTAGATGTTAAGTAAACATCTACCTGGATAGAAGGCTTTATAAACGGGGGCATAGAATACAAATGTCAGGAAGTTATAACGGACCTTTATATAAAACCCCGGTGAGGCCTCAGCGAGAGACTGTGTTCAGTTCTGGGTACCACACTTTAGGAAGGATGTCAAGGCATTGGAGGGGGCGCAGAGGAGATTGACCGCGATGGTACCAGGAATGAGGGACTTCAGTTATCAGGAGAGGCGAGAGAAGCCGGGATTATTCTCCTTATAATAATAATAATAATAATGATCCTTGCATTTGATATAGCGCTTTTCACGTCGGGAGGACGTCCCAAAGCGCTTCACAGAACACACTGTAAAGTGAATTGACTGTATATTGGTGGGCGAACGCGGCAGCCGATGGCGCACAGCAATGTCCCACAAACAGTCGTAGATTGAAAATGACCAATTTATTATTGTTGTTGTTTTGGAGGGATTATTATTAGGCTCTGTGTGGTGTAAGGAAACTTGCCCGAGGTTTCGCCCTCTGCCTGGAATTGAACTCAGGTCAATCACTTGCAAAGCGAGTGCTCTAACCACTGAGCTACAGGACTCCACGAAGCAGAGAAGGTTAAGAGGAGAGTTAATAGAAGTTTTCAAAATGATGAGGGGATTCGATAGGACGAACAGGGAGAAACTATTCCCACTGGCGGGCGGGTCGGGAACCCGAGGGCAACGATTTAAAATAGTTGTTAAAAGAAACAGAGGGGCGGGAGGAGAAATGCTTTCACACAGAGAGTTGTTGGGATCTGGAATCATTGCCTGAAAGGCCGGCGGAAGCCGATTCAGTCATAACGTTTAAGAGAGAAGTAGATAATTATTTGGGGAGGACAAGTTTGCAGGGCTACGGGGAGAGCGCGGGGGGAGTGGGGTTGATCAGGGCTATGGGGAGAGAGTGGGGGGAGTGGGGTTGATCAGGGCTATGGGGAGAGCGCGGGGGGAGTGGGGTTGCTCAGGGCTATGGGGAGAGCGCGGGGGAGTGGGGTTGATCAGGGCTATGGGGAGAGCGCGGGGGAGTGGGGTTGCTCAGGGCTATGGGGAGAGCGCGGGGGAGTTGGGTTGATCAGGGCTATGGGGAGAGACTGGGGGAGTGGGGTTGATCAGGGCTATGGGGAGAGCGCGGGGGGAGTGGGGTTGCTCAGGGCTATGGGGAGAGCGCGGGGGGAGTGGGGTTAATCAGGGCTATGGGGAGAGCGCGGGGGGAGTGGGGTTGATCAGGGCTATGGGGAGAGAACGGGGGAGTGGGGTTGATCAGGGCTATGGGGAGAGAGTGGGGGAGTGGGGTTGATCAGGGCTATGGGGAGAGCGCGGGGGAGTGGGGTTGATCAGGGCTATGGGGAGAGCGCGGGGGAGTGGGGTTAATCAGGGCTATGGGGAGAGCGCGGGGGAGTGGGGTTGATCAGGGCTATGGGGAGAGCGCGGGGGGAGTGGGGTTGATCAGGGCTATGGGGAGGGCGCGGGGGGAGTGGGGTTGCTCAGGGCTATGGGGAGAGCGCGGGGGGAGTGGGGTTGCTCAGGGCTATGGGGAGAGCGCGGGGGGAGTGGGGTTGCTCAGGGCTATGGGGAGAGCGCGGGGGGAGTGGGGTTGAATTGGAAGCTCTTTTCAAAGCACCGCCAACAGACGCAATGGGCCGAATGGCCTCCGGGTGTCCGTGCCGTGTAATTAGAGAATTGTACAGGAACATCGCAGCCTCTGTGGGTGTTGTCGTGTTTTAGCTGCAGAGGAACAATCCAAGATGGGATTTGCGCAGTCTGCCCGAATAGTTTGGCCGTCGCGCGGGGAGCCTCGGCTGCCCCGTTGGAGCAGGAAAACTTTCCTCTCCCCGCGTTGCTCAAAGCGACTTGTCGGATCGGAATCGTGTAAGCATTCGGGTTTCCATTGCACCCCGGGGGGATCGTGGCGCGTGTGCGGCGAGTCGTACGGCGATCGGGTGATGCCGTCTCGTGGATTGCGATGTGCATGTCCTATTCATAGGTGGTTCTGCCATGTTCGTGCTGCCTTCAAGTCCCTTCATGCCCCTCAAGCGGGAGGACCTGGGTTCGATTCCCAGGCGGGATAACACGTTGGGCAAGTTTCCTTACTCCACACACACGTAACCCGATTGATGGTAGACTGACGGATCGCTATCGGGCAGTAATAATCTGTTCCCCCCCCCCCCCACACACCCAAAAATAATAAATTTGGTCACTCGACCCACGACTGCCTGCGGGGACGTCGCTGGGCGCAGTCGGCTGCCGCGTTCGCCCACAAATATACAGTCAATTCACTTTACAGTGTGTTCTGTGAAGCGCTTTGGGAGGTCCTCCCGACGTGAAAAGCGCTATATCAAATGCGAGGATTATTATTATTATTATCCTACAAAACGCACAGTCGCTGCCTGCACTTAGCAGTCCATTCCGCGAAGGGCTTCGAGGCGTAGCCTTTCCGGCCGGGGCTGCGGAGTCGTTGATCTTCGAGAGCCTGAACAAGCCCAGAGGGGGAATCTGAAGCACGATCAGGGCAATACACACACCCCGCTCCCTGCCTTCCCCCAACTCCCCCTCTCCCCCCCCCCCCCCGCCCCCCGCACTGGAAAAGCCATCCGTCATTCGACTAGCAATTGGGTGCCAACTTCCTGTTAGGTAAACGGAGGCGTGTGTCTGTGTGTGTGTGTGTGTGTGTGTGTGCGGAATAGAAACTTGCACAATGTTTACCCCTGACCCGACACGCCCGTGAATCAAACCCCGGTCTCTCACTTGCGAGGCGAGGGCTCTAATCGCTGAGCTACTGCACTCCTTATACTGAGTCATGTTGGATGTATGATTTGCTGCCCTATTTCTGGCTCGATTGTTACCCCGCTCCCACGCAGAGGAGGTAACAACGCACACACATGAGTCAACTCATGTTTGTGGGGGTTCGTCGCTGGGCGCGACGGGCTGCCGCCCAAAGCACACGGTCACCACACTTTGCAGCGTATCCTGCGAAGCGCTTTTCGAGATGACTCGAAGATTGGCTGAGGTGCTGGGTCAAATGCCGGGATTATTTTTACATTATGAACCCTCCGCCTTGGACCCTCTCCGCCTGTCTTCAGATCGCACCTCGGGACTTTCCTCTTCGACCGTGCCTGTGTGTGTCTGTGTGTGTGTGTGTGTGTGTGTCCCCTCTCACTCACTCTCTCCTTCACTCTCTCGCCCCCTCCAGCTCAGGTGAAACTACACCAATGTGGTTGGGAACTCCTTTCTCTTTTGAGTGGGTCCCACCCTCAGCACTGCGTCAGCTGTGAGCTCAAAGTTCGACCCTGTCTGGAAGGACCCAGCTGTCAGATAGTTGAAGCCTTGACACTTTGCTCCCATATGTTGCAGGGTTTATCCGATTGTTTCAGATGAACAGATACCCGATGAGCGTCATGGAGGGAGAGCTGCTTAAACTCCTGGACACAGCCCCCCCGGACAACGTGAAGGTGAGTGTGGAATCCTGTAGCCAAGCGGTTAGACTAGACTCCTCGCCTCGAGTTTTCTTAATCCGCACACACCCACAGACACACGAGCACCAACGCACACAACAACAACAAACCACGTAAAGGAAAAAAGGTTAGTTAAAGGTAGGGTGGGGCCAATCGAAGGCAATGACGGCAATCTTGTGGAGGCAGAGGGCACGGCTGACATACTGAACGAGTTCTTTGTATCTGTCTTCACAATGGAAATGGATGCACAGTATTGGATGAGAGGATAGAGGAAATGGATCAGATTACTAGAGACAGAGAGGAAGTTCTGAAAAGATTGACTGGGCTCAAAATTCATAAGTCACCAGGACCAGATGGGTTTCACCCACGGTTGCTGTGGGAGTTACGGGTTCAAATAGCGGAGGCTTTGGCCATTATATTTCAATCATCATTGGATACAGCAGTGGTGTCAAGAGACTGGAGAGTGGCTAATGTTACCCCACTCTACAAAAATGGGCAGAAAGACAAGCCCGGAAATTACAGGCCAGTCAGCCTAACTTCGGTAATAGGAAAGCTACTGGAGACCGTAATCCGGGACAAAATAAATCTCTACTTAGAGGAACACGAGGTAATTAGAGACCCCCAACATGGATTTGTTAAAGGCAAGTCTTGCCTAACAAATCTAATAGAATTTTTTGAAGAGGTGACTGCGAGGGTTGATGAGGGAAATGCGGTGGACATTATTTACATGGATTTTAAAAAGGCTTTTGACACAGTACCGCATAAGAGGTTAATAAAAAAACTGGAGGCTCACGGTATTAAGGGGACAGTAGCTGTTTGGATTAGGAACTGTCTGAGTGACAGACTGCAGAGTGTGCTGGTTAATGGGTGTTTCTCGCAATGGAAGGAGGTGACCCCAGGGATCGGTATTGGGACCACTGCTCTTTCTAATACATATTAATGATCTGGACTTGGGCATAGAGAGCACTATTTCCAAGTTTGCAGATGATACCAAGTTAGGTCAGGTAGTAAATAGTGAGGAGGACTGTAATAATAATAATAATAATCCTTGCATTTGATATAGCGCTTTTCACGTCGGGAGGACGTCCCAAAGCGCTTCACAGAATATACTGTAAAGTGAAATGACTGTATATTTGTGGGCGAACGCGGCAGCCAATTGCGCACAGCAATGTCCCACAAACAGTCGTGGATTGAAAATGACCAATTTTTATTATTGTTTTTTGTTTTTTGGAGGGATTGTTGTTAGGCTCTGTGTGGAGTAAGGAAACTTGCCCAAGGTTTGGCCCTCTGCCTGGAATTAAACTCAGGTCTCTCACTTGAAAGCGAGTGCTCTAACCACTGAGCTACAGGACTCTACCATCTGCAGGCAGACATACACAGAATGGTGGAATGGGCTGACATGTGGCAGATGGATTTCAATGTAGATAAGTGCGAGGTGATACACTTAGGGAGGAAAAATGATAGGAGGCAATATAGGCTTGGGAGCTCAATCTGAAAGGGGGTGAACGTACAGAGAGATCTGGGCGTTCAAGTAAGCGATTCATTGAAGGTGGCAGAGCAGATAGACAGGGCAGTAAAAAGGGCATTTGGTGTACTGAGCTTCATTAGTAGGGGCATAGAGTATAAGAGAAGGAGGTTATGCTTAATCTGTACAAAACACTGGTTAGGCCTCAGCTGGAGTACTGCGTCCAGTTCTGAGCACCGTACCTCAGGAAGGATATTAAGGCACTGGAAAAGGTGCAGAGGAGATTCACGAGAATGATACCAGGAATGGGGAAGCTTAGCTATGAGGACAGGCTGGAAAACTGAGGATTTTTCCCATGAGAGCAGAGAAGGTTACGCGGGGACCTGATAGAGGTCTTCAAGATCATGAAAGGTTTCGACAGGCGAGATAGGGAAAAGCTGCTTCCGCTGGTAGGTGTGTCTGTGACTCGTGGTCACAGTCTTAAGATATCTACCAAAAGAAGCAGAGAGGAGGTTAGAAGAAATGTTTTCACTCAGCGAGTTGTTAGAATTTGGAATGATCTGCCCGAAAGGGCAGTGAAGTCCGATTCGATTACAGCTTTTAAGAGAGAACTGGATAGGTATCTGGGAAGACGGGTTTGCAGAGTTATGGGGAGAAAGCTGGTGAGTGGGGTTAGTGAAAGTGACGCTCTGTCAAAGAGCCGCACAGACTCGATGGGCCGAATGGCCTCCTTCTGTGCCGTAACATTCTATGAATCTATTCTATGAAAAAAAAGCAAGATTGCATTTATAGAGCGCCTTTCACGTCGGGAGGACGTCCCAAGGCGCTGGACAGTTGGGTCAGGACCCGAGCATTGGGGGGGGAAATGGTCAGAGTGAGGGGCGGGAAGGGAGGGAGCGAGGAGGGGGAAGAGAGTCGAGAGTGGAGCTGAAGGCACGGTTGAAGAGAAGACACCTCTGTCAGTAGGAACCTGCTTGTCAGTTGTTCGATGAATCGCTTTTCTGGGGGTAATAATCCCTTCAAATAATAATAAATTGGTCACTCAATCCACGACTGCTTGGGGGGACGTCGCTGGGTGCAATTGGCTGCCGCGGTTCGCCCACAAAATATACAGTCACTACACCTTACAGTGTATCCTGTGAAGCGCTTTGAGACTCCTCGAAGACGTGATAAGGCGCAGGGTCAAACACCAGGATTATTATTATTTATCTTTCAGTGGATATAGCGCCTTATCAAGTCATCGAGACGTCTCAAAGCGCTTCACAGGACATACAAATCTCCTCTGCATCCCTGTGTCCCCCTCGATGGCTTTCCTGAAGTGCGGTGACCACGCTATAATAATAATAATCCTGGCATTTGATGTAACCCTCTCACCTGTTGTTTTCTCTCACCGGCTTTTCAGGAGATGAAACGGGATTTCACAACATTTCTGAAGCTGTATTGGAACGTTATGTTCGGTGAAGAACAGTCTATTCAGTGGGATAACATAATACCTCCATCAGAGAAGTCTGTAAGTCATTATATTGTAACACTCCCAGGTCAGGGTTAGAGACATAGTAAAGCTCCTCTACACTGTGCGTCCGTCCACACTCCCAGGTCAGGGTTAGAGACATAGTAAAGCTCCTCTACACTGTGCGTCCGTCCACACTCCCAGGTCAGGGTTAGTGACACAGTAAAGCTCCCTCTACACTGTGCGTCCGTCCACACTCCCAGGTCAGGGTTAGAGACACAGTAACGCTCCCTCTACACTGTGTGTCCACACTCCCAGGTCAGGGTTAGAGACACAGTAAAGCTCCTCTACACTGTGTGTCCACACTCCCAGGTCAGGGTTAGAGACACAGTAAAGCTCCTCTACACTGTGTGTCCACACTCCCAGGTCAGGGTTAGAGACACAGTCACGCTCCCTCTACACTGTGCGTCCACACTCCCAGGTCAGGGTTAGAGACACAGTAACGCTCCCTCTACACTGTGCGTCCACACTCCCAGGTCAGGGTTAGAGACATAGTAAAGCTCCTCTACACTGTGTGTCCACACTCCCAGGTCAGGGTTAGAGACACAGTAACGCTCCCTCTACACTGTGCGTCCGTCCACACTCCAGGTCAGGGTTAGAGACACAGTAACGCTCCCTCTACACTGTGCGTCCGTCCACACTCCCAGGTCAGGGTTAGAGACACAGTAACGCTCCCTCTACACTGTCCGTCCACACACTCCCAGGTCAATGACACAAATTGGCTGCTGCGATCACCCACAAAACCACTCTCGGTAGCGCTTGGGGATATCCACAAATTCCAATGATGATCCTTGCATTTGACATCAGCGCCTTATCAAGTCTTCGAGACGTCTCGAAGCCCTTGATGGGACACGCTGTAAAGCGAAGTGACTGTGTGGTCTGTTAATTACCATCACCTTTTGCTCCTGACAGGTTCTGTCTTACGACAGCCTACAAGCCATGGAGTTGCCCGAGGACATGGCCTCTTTGCTGAACAAGCTGGTGGTCGTGAAGCTGAATGGGGGGCTGGGGTCCAGCATGGGAGTGAGTGGACCCAAGTGCCTCATCGAAGTGAGGAACGGCTGCAGCTTTCTGGACTTGGCAGTGGAGCAGATAGAGGTCAGAATGGTCACTCACCCCATTCCCGCAGCGGCATAACAATATTAATAATCATCATCATCAGAATAATCAGGAGGATAATAATCCTTACACGTCTTTGGGACGTCTCAAAGCCATTTGCAGGATACGCCGTCAAATCAATTGACTGTATATTGTGGACCAAACACGGCAGCGAATCGCGCACAGCAACTACTCGTGGATTGAGTGACCGTTATTATCATTAATATTATTATTGTGTGGTTGCGTGCGTGTGCGCGTATGTGCGCGCGAGAGAGGGCGAGTGTGGGAGAGAGAACAAGGATGTGCGTGTGTGTGCGTGGAGTCCTGTATCTCAGGGATTAGACCCCTCGCATCACAAGCCACAGCCCCTGTAGCTCAGGGGTTAGATCCCTCCCCTCGCACCCCACAGCCCCTGTAGCTCAGGGGTTAGACCCCTCACCTCGCACCCCACAGCCCCTGTAGCTCAGGGGTTAGACCCCTCGCCCCCCACCCCACAGCCCCTGTAGCTCAGGGGTTAGACCCCTCACCTTGCAAGCCAGAGGACCCGAGTTCGATTCCCAGGCGCGTCAGGTCAGGGCAAAATGTTGGTCAATTTAACTTATTCCTCTCCCCACCCCCCACCCGCACACACACCCGAACACGCCTCTGTTTACCAGCGGTAAGCAGGATCCCGGTTGTCAGTCGATTGCCGGTTGGGGTTAAGGGACTCTGTCAATGTAAGGACTATCAAGGATAATCCGAGCGGGCAATATAATATAATGCCACATCCTGTTTGCTTTGTTCATTGTCTCCTCGACACAGTCCGGACACAATGAGCAAAGTGTCATCTCGCTCCCCGTCAGTCTCTCTCGCTGTCTCCTCTCCTGCCCGGGAGGCTAAGGACATTTCCACAGCCCCTCATCACCGGGGAGATGGAGCGAGAGCGCAGTGTGGGTTCACTGGGAAGGAAACCAGGGCTGGGAGCTCACAACAATTTACAACAACAACAAATTACACTTGTACAGCATCCTTCAGGTCGGAAAGACGTCCCACAAGGCGCTGGACAATCCGGGTTTGGACCCCAGCTGAGACTTGGGGGTCAGGAGGGGTGGAGGGCGGTGGTGGATGGGGGTTTTGTTGAGGGTGGGAGGGGTGGCCCGAATTCACGGTCGAAGAGGAAGTTCTTCAGGCGGGACTTGAAGAAGGCAACGGAGGGGGTGAGGTGGAGGGACTGAGGGGTGGGGTTCCAGAGTGTGGGGGCAGAGAAGCTGCAGGGCCGACCGCCAGTGACGGGGCGGGAATAACGGGGGGACCTGAAGCAACCTGGTGTCCACCGAGTGGAGGGAGCTGACATGGGGTTAGGAGGTCGGAGAGGTTGGGGGGAGCAAGAGGGTGGACGGAGGTGTTAGAGGGGCCTTATATACACTCCGAATAATAATAATCCTTGCACTTCAAACAGCGCCTCATCACCTCCTCGCGACGTCTCAAAGCGCTTCACAGGATACACTGTAAAGTGTAGTGACTGTGTTTTTTTGGCGAAATGCCACCGGGCGGTTCAGGGTGACGGGTTTCCATGTGTGTCAGACACCCGGCTGGACACGGTGACGGGTTTCCGTGCGTGTCAGACACCCGGCCGGACACGGTGACGGGTTTCCGTGCGTGTCAGACCCCCGGCCGGTCACGGTGACGGTTTCCGTGCGTGTCAGACCCCCGGCCGGTCACGGTGACGGGTTTCCATGTGTGTCAGACACCCGACCGGTCACGGTGACGGGTTTCCATGTGTGTCAGACACACGGCCGGTCACGGTGACGGGTTTCCGTGTGTGTCAGACACCCGGCCGGACACGGTGACGGGTTTCCGTGCGTGTCAGACCCCCGGCCGGTCACGGTGAGGGGTTCCATGTGTGTCAGACACCCGGCCGGTCACGGTGACGGGTTTCCGTGCGTGTCAGACACCCGGCCGGTCACGGTGACGGGTTTCCGGGTGTGTCGCCGGGAACATAGGTTCTGCCAACGCTCTCTTAACTCGGGAGTTGTGCTCTTAACTGGTTTAGCTGCTTCTTAAGTAGGGAAGAGTTTAATTAAGCTGAAGAACCAGTTTGATTGACCTAACTCTGCCTCCGGGCTGTGTCACCCCCTCCGTTGCCTCCTCCGAGCGTGTGGGAGCGTGTGGGAGCGTGCGGCTGGATTGCACGTGAGTGTAGCGTGTAGAGGAGACAGTGATTCCTTGTGCTCTCTGGTGCAGAGTGTCTGCCGTTGCACTTGCTCTTTGTGAGGGAACACAGGTCCCGACAATGTTCCTGTCCCGTGAATCAAATGGAATCGATCCGGGATCATCCGGAGCCGGGCAACGGTTGCGCTCCACGATACACGAGGTTACTCCACTCCACTCAGGAGAGAGAGCGTTCGGGACAAAGATTCCGCTTGGTTTAACGCCGCTTTGGGGACTGGGGTCGTTTTTCAACTGTGTTTGTGATTAATAATAATAATAATAATAATAATCGGGTGTGGGAATATCAATAATAATCCTCGCCTTCGACCCGGCGCCTCGTCGCGTCTTCTAGACGACTCGTAAAGGCTTCACGGGATGCACTGTTGAGTGTAGTGACTGTGTGCTTCGTGGGCGAAACGCGGCAGCCAATGGCGCCCAGCGACGTCCCCCACAAACAGCCGTGGGTTGAGCTCCCTCTGCCTCCTCGTCCTCCGCGACCTCTCTGCTGCCTTCCACACCGTCGACCACTCTCTCCTCCTCCTCCTCCCTCCACCGCCTCTGCTCTCACCTCAACCTCCAACGGCTCTGTCCTCGACTGGTTCAGATTGTGCCTCTCGCGCCGTCTCCGCTTCATCTCCTCAAACGGCTTCTCCTCCGGCCCCGTCTCGTGTGGCGCTCCTCAGGGCTCCGTCCTCGGTCCCCTCCTCGTCAACATCTATGTGCTCCCTCTTGGTGACATCATCCCCAGACATGGGGTCAACTCCCACATGTACGCGGATGACACCCAACTCTATCCAACTCTCTGCCTCCGCCCTCGACTCCAGGACCCACTGCTGTCCTGACAGAATGTCTGTCTGACGTCAATCCCTGGAAGAGGGAGAACTTTCTTCGGTCAACAAGTCCGAGGCTCTCCTGATTGACCCTCAACTGTCCTTTCTACATCTGCGTCATGACCCGTTCTGCCTTCCCCCACCTCCGCAACCTCGTCCGGCCCCGCCACTGTCTCACACCGCAGGCCCCCGAGACCCTCACACACGCCTTCATTACATCCAGGCTTGACCCCCCCCACCCAAACTCCCTGCTTGTCGGCCCCCCAATTCCTCCCTCCACAGGCTGCACCTCATCCAGAACTAACTCTGCAGCCCGTGTCCTCTCCGGCACCAACCTCCGTGACCCCATCACCCCCATCCTCACCCCACCGGGGTCCCACGACACCATCACCCCCATCCTCACCCCCACCAGGCTCCCCAACCCCATCACCCCAATCCTCACACCAACCAGGATCCCCGACCCCATCACCCCATTTTCAACCCCCACCAGGCTCCCCACCCCATTACCCCCATCCTAACCCCACCGGACTCCCCGACCCCATCACCCCCATCCTCACCTCCACCAGGCTCCCCGACCCCATCACCCCCATCCTCGCCCCGACTAGGCTCCCCCCCCATCACCCCATCCTCACCCCCACCGGGCTCCCCCACCCCATCACCCCCATCCTCACCCCCACCAGGCTCCCCGCCCCCATCACCCCATCCTCACCCCACCGGGCTCCCCGCCCGCCATCACCCCCATCCTCACCCCCACCAGGCTCCTCGCCCCCATCACCACCATCCTCACCCCACCAGGCTCCGCCCCATCACCCCCATCCTCCCCCCGACTCCAGTAAAAGCTAATAACCATTCGGTCACTCAATTCACGACTGTTTGTGGGACACTGCTGTGCTCTATTGGCTGCCGCGTTTCGCCCACAAAATATACAGTCACTACACTTTACGTATGTCCTGTGAAGCACTTTGAGACATCTCAAAGATGTGATAATGCACTGTGTCAAATGCAAGGATTATTATTATTGTTTGTCAGACACCCGGAGGGTCACGGTGACGGGTTTCCGTGTGTGACAGACACCCGGAGGGTCACGGTGACGGGTTTCCGTGTGTGTCAGACACCCACAAAAAGATTTCTGTGGCTTCCTTAACCTCCAGCACATGAACAGAACCTACGGCAGTGACGTCCCGCTGGTGTTGATGAATTCCTTCCACACCGACGAAGAGACGTTGAAGGTCATCCCGAAGTACAGCGAGTGCAACCTCAAGCTGTCCACCTTCTGCCAGAGCAGGTGAGTCGCTCTGCCCTCCCCAGCCCCTCTTTCACCTTCCCTCACCCCCTAAACCCCGTCCCCCCATCCCCCCAGCCCTCGCCCGGCCCCACTGGCTCCCCATCACCCCCTAAACCCCGTCCCCCATCCCCCGCCCTCGCCCGGCCCCACTGGCTCCCCCTCACCCCCTAAACCCCATCCCCCCAGCCCTCGCCCGGCCCCACTGGCTCCCCATCACCCCCACTAAACCCCGTCCCCCCATCACCCCAGCCCTCGCCAGGCCCCACTGGCTCCCCATCACCCCCACTAAACCCCATCCCCAGCCCTCGCCAGGCCCCCCTGGCTCCCCATCACCCCACTAACCCCCCGTTCCCCCATCTCCCCAGCCCTCGCCGGCCCCACTGGCTCCCCATCACCGAACGGGTCGATTTCGAGACCCTCTCGCTCGTTTTCAAATCCCTTCACGCCCCGGCACCTCCCTCCCTCTCTCTCCGACCTGCTCAAGCCCCCCCCCCCCACTCCCACACCCTCTGGCTCCGCTTGACTGGCTCCGGCCTCCCGTTTGTCCCTCGTTCTACCATGAGTGGCCGCTAACGCCCCAAAACTCTCACTCTCTCCCTCTTATCCCTCCGCCTCGCCCCTTCCTTCGGCTGCGTAGAGGACCCCATCAGGCTCGAGGGGCTGAATGGCCCTACTCCTGCTCCTACGTCTCCTGGTCCTGTGGTCTTAAGTTACGAGGAGAGTGCGCGTAAACTGGGATTATATTCCCTTGAGTTCAGAAGGTTGAGGGGTGGTTGGATATATCCCATATCCCTGATCAACCCCACTCCCCCGCTCCGTCTCCCCATAGCCCTGATCAACCCCACTCCCCCACTCTCTCTCTCCCCATAGCCCTGATCAACCCCACTCCCCGCTCTCTCTCTCCCCATAGCCCTGATCAACCCCACTCCCCCACTCTCTCTCTCCCCATAGCCCTGATCGACCCCATTCCCCCGCTCTCTCTCTCCCCATAGCCCTGATCAACCCCACTCCCCCGCTCCCTCTCTCCCCATAGCCCTGATCAACCCCACTCCCCCGCTCCCTCTCTCCCCATAGCCCTGCCAGCCTGTCCTCCCCAAGCCTCCCTCATGGAATCCCCTCTCTCTCTCTGCCCCGGTTAGAGCAGCTACCCGGTGTTGAGTAAAGAAACTATGCTTCCCCTGACGCGCGTTGCTGGGAAATCCGGGGACTCCGAGCTGTGGTACCCCCCGGGTCACGGGGATATCTACACCAGCCTGGCCAACTCGGGTCTCCTCAAGAGTTTCCTGGCCGAGGGCAAGGAATACGCCTTCATCTCCAACATAGACAACCTGGGAGCCAGTGTGGACCTCTCCATCCTTTCCTACCTCCTGCAACCAGCCAACAGTGCCCCGTGCGACTTCATCATGGAGGTGACCAACAAGACCAGAGCTGACGTGAAGGTGGGACCTTCTATTTACCGCGACGCTGAGCCGGTGTGGGGGCGGTGGGGGGGGAGGAGGGAGGAGGGAGGGAGTGGGGAAGGTGACGTACGCACAGGTTGAAGAGGGAGTTAGATTTGGGAGGTCAATTCGGAACCAATCTGCACTTGACTTGTGGGACAGCTCCCGAGGAACACGGACAGCGCAAGCAAAGAAATGGCATTTGTTTCAAGAACAAATTGGATCAGATCAGATTAGATTACTGCCCTCCGTAGATTACCGTACCCTCCGTTCCTCCGGCTCTGGTCTGCTCCACATCCCCCGCCCCAACCGCCCGACCATCGGTGGCCTTCAGCCTCTCAGCCCCGAGGCTCTGGAACTCCATCCCCAGTGCCTTCACCGCTTCCTCCCTTTCCTCCTTCAAGGCCGGTCTCAAGACCTTTCTCTTTGGCCTTCAGCTCCACTCTCGACTCTCTACCCCCTCCTCCTCGCTCCCTCCCTCCCCTCCCCTCACCCTGACCATTTCCCCCCTCCTCGCTCCCTCCCTTCCCTCCCCTCACCCTGACCATTCCCCCCTCCTCGCTCCCTCCTTCCCTCCCCTCACCATTTCCCCCTCCTCGCTCCCTCCCTTCCCTCCCCTCACCTGACCATTTCCCCCTCCTCGCTCCCTCCCTTCCTCCCCTCACCCTGACCATTCCCCCCTCCTCGCTCCCTCCCTTCCCTCCCCTCACCCTGACCATCTTCCCCTCCTCGCTCCCTCCCTTCCCTCCCCTCACCCTGACCATTTCCCCCCCCAATGCTCGGGTCCCGACCCAACTGTGCAGCGCCTCGGGACGTCCTCCCGACGTGAAAGGCGCTCAATAAATGCAATCTTGTTGTTGTTGTTGCCAGAAAATAATATCTCAGGATATAGTATACAAACGCACACACACCAACATAAGGGACATACAGAGGCACACACACACACACACACACAGAGACACACACACACACACAGAGACACACACCACACAGAGACACACACACACACACACAGAGACACACACACACAGAGACACACACACACAGAGACACACACACAGAGACACACACACACAGAGACACACACACACACACATACATACAGACACACACACACACACAGACACACACACACACAGACACACAGACAGACACACATACACAGAGACATACAGAGGCACACACACACAGATACACACACCGACAGACACACACATACACAGAGACACACATACACACAGACAGACAGACAGACAGACAGACACACACATACACAGAGACACACATACACACAGACAGACAGACACACACAGAGACATACAGAAACACACACACACACAGATACACAGAGACAGACACACACATACACAGAGACATACAGAGACACACACGCACACGCCTGTGTCCCCGGCAGTCAGTAGGAACCCGCTTGTCAGTCGATTGGGGGATCACTTTCCGGGGGTAATAATCTGTTTGTGGGGACGTCGCTGAGCGCGATCGGCTGCTGCCTCGACGACCTGTTACGGCGCTATGTCAAATGCAATCAATCAAATTATTATTATTATTATTATTATTATTGTCATCATCATCTGTTTGGCATTGAACGTCGATGTGCAGAGAGCGACTTGGGACGTCCTCCTGACGTGAAAGGCGCTATATAAATTGTTGTTGTTGGGAGGGAGGGAGGGAGGGAGGGGACACTGTAGGGGAAGGGCGGTGAGGAGACGTTTCACCTCTTTCACCTCAATAATTTTTATTTATCTTTGGTTTTATTGGTTTATCATATTTATTGTAATATGATATTTATTCATTTATTCATTTATTTATTTAAACAATGATTATTTATTTATTTATTTAAATATTTTATATTAATAATAATAATCCTTGAGTTTGATATAGCGCTTTTCGCGTCTTCTCGACGTCCCAAAGCGCTTCACAGAATAGACTGTAAAGTGAATTGACCGTATATTTGTGGGCGAACGCGGCGGCCAATTGCGCACAGCAATGTCCCACAAACAGTCGTGGATTGAAAATGACCAATTTATTATTTTTCAGAGGGATTATTTTGAGTGTGGAGTAAGGAAACGTGCCCAAGGTTAATATTTATATGAAAGTGAAACATGTCAAACAATATATTTGTTTATTAATGTTGTTATTTCATTTTTTAAATGTATTTGAACAATTATTTATTTATTCATTTAAATATTTAATATGTATTTAAAAGTAAAACATGTCAAACAATACATTTGTCCACAATATGTTCTGCGAAGCGATTTGTGAGGCATTATCCTCCGACTTGCACCTCATCCCCAATTACCCGGCCTTCGCCCCGTAATCCCTGCCCTCGACCCCCCCCACTGCCCCCCCCGACCCCACAAACATCTCCGCCTCAGTCTGGATGACGTGACTGGAGTCATAAATCCCCCCCGTTTGGGGGTGGGGGGAGCGAGCGATCCCCAAATTCCCTTCAACCCTTTGGGTGGGGTGGACTGCCTCCGATTTCACCCCAAAAGCGTCCTGGGCTCTGGTTTTAAGTCGATGACCCCACCCCCCCACCCCCCCACCCCCCTGGAGGTGGAGTCCCCCCCCACACCCCGACCAGAGCAAATAGTTTCTCCGCAGCTCCAATCCCTTTATTACCTTAAAAGTGAAACCTGTATCAAATGCACGGATTATTATTATTATTATTATGTGTGTGAGTCTGACCCCCACCCCACCTTGTGTTGGGGGGGAAAAAAATCCCCCACAAAATACTCCAGACGCTGGAAATCTGAAAACAACAACGGAAATCGCTGGGAACGAACACTCAAAGCCGGTCAGGCAGCATCTATGGAGAGAGGAAAGCGAGTCAATGTTTTGGGTCCACGGCGACGAAGTTCTGACGAAACGTTGACTCGCTTTCCTCTCTCCATAGATGCTGCCTGACCGGCTTTGAGCGTTCGTTCCCAGCGCCTCCACCTCTTGGGCGGGCGACGGTTTGACCCGGACGTGTGGTTGTCTACGCAGGGCGGGACGATGATACAGTACGACGGAGGGTTGAGGCTCCTGGAGATCGCACAGGTCCCCAGAGAACACGTGGAGAAATTCACCTCCGTTTCCCAGTTCAAAACCTTCAACACCAACAACCTGTGGGTCTCCCTCACGGCCATGAAGTCTCTGGGGGAGAGCGATAACTTGGACACGGAGATCATTGTCAATAACAAGGTACTCGCAGCACTGCGCGTCCGTCCACACTCCTGGGTCAGGGTGACAGACACAGTAAAGCTCCTCTACACTGTGTGTCCACACTCCCAGGTCAGGGTTAGAGACACAGTAACACAGTCACTACACTCCCAGGTCAGGGTTAGAGACACAGTAACGCTCCTCTACACTGTGCGTCCACACTCCCAGGTCATGTTGAGCACCAACTTATTACAGGATCAATCCCTCACTCCTTCCCCATCTTCAGCTCGAGCCTGTGTGTGTGTGTGTGTGTGTGTGTGTGCGCGTGTGCGTGTGTCTTTCCTTGAGTGCCATTGCTCCTCCTCCTCCGCACCCCTGCAGACCCTCGCGACCGGACAGAACGTGGTGCAGTTGGAGACCGCCGCCGGAGCTGCCATCAGAAACTTCGACCGGGCGCTGGGGGTCAACGTGCCTCGGAGCCGGTACCAACCGGTCAAGAACACGGGGGACCTGCTGCTGGCCATGTCCAACCTGTACGGGCTGGAGGGGGGGCGGCTGCAGCTGAGTGACCGCAGGCAGTTCCCCAAACTGCCCCTCATCAAACTGGGCACATCCTTCACCCAGGTCAGTGCCCCTCACACCAACAACAACCACCACAACAACAACCATCACCACCACCACCAACTCCCTCACCAACACCAACACCACCACCAACACCA